AGAATAAAAATTAAGATGTACATGTATGTATCACAATAATTCCTCCAAATAGATCTGTAAATCCCTTTTTATATCTGTAAACAACAAATTGTTAAGGACTGTCGTATATTAGATGGACTTATTCTGATTTGATGATTTGTGGTTCAATTCCACATCTAATAATAATGCAATAATAAAAAAGTTCTTAAAAATTTCACATTTTTAATTTAACAGATATTAAAGGTGATTTATGGATTTAAATAGGGAAATGTCCAAACATAGCCGCAATCCTCTAAAAGATGTTTGCAATGCTGCACTGGTATCTGCAAAAAAGCAAGAAATGAGATTATAGATGATAAAGCAATTTGTCCTTCAAAAGCTTTACACACTACAGCATATTGATCTTCGCACCTTCACATCTCACCTGGTGTAAAGCAACTTCAAAACACCTTTTAGGGTATTTCATGCAAATATCTTGGTTGCGTTTGATCCATCTCTTAGCAATACTGAATGCCTCTTCTGCTGGGTTCATATCAGGTGAGTAGGGCCTAAGAAGATATAATTCAAGACAATGAAAAAAATTGCTTTATATTTTCTAAAAATGTTTCTATTGCACAAATCCCTAACAACAGGACTTCATTGATAAAATGTTGTTTCTTCTGCAGATGTGATACATACATCATAAAATTTGCTCAAAACAAGTACCAACTGCTTGAAGATTTGATTTCACATCCAAACTTGTTTTACTTACGMCAAAAAAATAACAAATCCTCCCTTTGAATGAATTTGTTCTATTAGATTGGATGAAYAATGAATACTACAYTTGTCCATTACCACAACAGAACACTCCTCTCCTTTATAAAACGAGCCAATATGAGGCAAGACAAATRGTTRCATGGCAAATTCAAAGTTTCTTTGATCAAAAGRACCAGTAATGGTATGAGCAGCCTTTACACCAGCTGATGATATGGCAGCAAGGACACTGTATCTAGCCCCACGTGTATATCTTCCAATTTTATTTGATCTTTTATTTATGAGGAAACGACCAAATTTTCTCTAWAAAATGGTTGAAATAAATAAATGTATTTATTGTAAGGTCATGTGTGTTCCACGWGTGAAGTAAAATTACTGTGTCAAAAAGTGAGCATCTCTTGTCTGAGATAACTAGCGACTGCACAGAGGCTAGTGTTGCAAGTGATATTGAAATTTATTTGTAAAACAAAAYCKAAACAACCTGTAACGTTCGATCATCCTTGCTTGACTCATCAAGAAATAGGAATTGGTGTGGTTTGACTTGAGATACAATCCTTCTATAATGAGCTCTTGRATACTCATTCCTTTGATAAGCTATTACATGCATCTGCAAGATCAAGTAGGATTATTTCAACAGTTTCTTATAAAAAAAACGGTTAATTTTAAGTATGATATTTGTCATGATTCCTACCTTTTTCAAACTAAGTCCAATATTTTTAAGAGCCCTGCTCACAGTTGACAACCATGTTCCAACCATGACTGAATCTCATCTAGATAAAGTTCAGGTTTCGTTTCCAATAACTTTCTAATAATGCGGAGCTCTGTGGCTAAAGTCGTATAAAACGGTCATCAAGATAAAACCAAGTTACTTTAGGTTGCATAAATTGTTTTTTAGTACCTTCAATAATTCGAACGACACCTCTTCGCCTTGGAGGATCCTTGACAGTTTTTGTTTGCTCGTATAGTTGTATTATTTTTCTGGTAAACGTTTCGCTAACAAACAGTCTCTCCGCAATTTGTTTTACCCCTATTCCTCGATAGTAAGCCCTAATTACTCTCCATCGTAATGGAGTATCGTAAGCTCTCGTCATTGCTCAACTACAGTTTTCAAGATGGCGCTCGCCGTCGCCGCTTGTGCATGAATTTCAATATCATATCGCCATGGAAACGGAATGATTGACGTCCATCAAAACCTTGTTTTGCTTTTGAAAGGTTTTACTAAAACGCGCGTGTACCTGAAAACGAGTGTAAAAAGTACATCATTTGAAGGAACAAAATTGTATTCTTTCTCCTTGGAGTACCTTATCCCTACATCACGCAGCAGAGGAAAGTTTATCGTGTCATTTTGAACAAAGTGTTCCCATTAAGTCCCAGTTTCCTCACCTCAGTTCTGTAAAGATGTGTATACATCATTGCAATTACTTTGTTGTAGATGGTTCTGCATTCAATGTTATTTTGAATCTGCCACTAGCTTCTTGAACCAAATCTGACATCAAADCTTCAGAAAACTTCATTTGGTAGGTGGAGAAGGCCAGGTTTTTTGTGCAGGAACGGAATGATGGGATTTTGTCATCTTTTATACAATCACCTAGATGTTTGGCATCTGCGAAAAATCTTGATGATTTAACTGACTGTTCTTCTAAGTTGATTCTCTTCTTTGTTTGCTTTGCTTTTTTCCCCGTAGAGTCAATATGTTGATCATGCATTCTACAATATAACTTTAAGCCATGCTCTTGAAGCATAGACTGAATTTCTGTGAACTGATACAACAGTATTGAGATGKAGTCAGTCTCAGGACATTCTCATACTCATTAATTATTCATGAGGTATCCAGCCATTCCCTGATTGTAATTTGTACCAKGTGAAGTAACTTGAAACCAGAGGAAGTACTCGTACCTTGTATTCTACCTTATTTCCAGGAGCCGGTTGTACGAAAGCCGATTAAATCTAACCTAGGATTAGCCAGGGTTAAAATCCCTAACCCTGGGTTAATTAATCCTAGGTTAAAAAAGCGTTGCTCAAAAGCCAAATTAATCCTGGATTTACTATCTCTGGATTAGTCTTGTAAAAACCTGTTTTAACCAGCTTTGCTCGCGCTTAATTGGTGCCACTCATGCGCATTAGGATTTGAGATGAAAACAAAATGGCGGACAGACTTCGGAAAAAAGTTGTCTCGTTTTAAATGGTTCTAAAATGTAGCCAAAATGCTCAAAAGAGTTGAAAATCGTTCAAAATCAACTGATTACCACCCAAACGACATGGAATGAGGTATATAATTCAAGGTTGTCCGATGATTRGTGCAGAAATGAGGCATTTTCTACCGCCGATTCGAACAACAAGTGTTCGATGTCAATCACAAAATCTTCCAAAATAAGAAATCACATGGATATTTAAGGTTCATACTTTGYCAGAAAAACAATCATTTAATGGACTAAAACATATCAAACCTCATCTGAAAAATATTGATGCCATTTTCTAAACGGTGTGTTTGAAGTTGAAAACTGCATTGCACATGTGATGTCTGAAATCGTATAGTAGACGTATTCTTTATTACATGTAAAATTTGCTTTTATGATTGCTAAACTTGAAAAACTTATACAAATCCAAACATATGAAGTGTCATTAGAAGGTACACCTGTTTGATGTAAATTACAAATTAAAGAAAAACACCAAATATAAAAAATAACAGAAACACTAGATCTGTCAGTTAGTCAAAGAAGACTGGTCAACATTTTTCTTTACCCTAAGCGATCATCTCCTGTTATGTTTTGACCTCTTCTATAAGAAATATTTGACCATAATCAACGACAAGCCTTTAGTCCTCTCACAACACTTTTATCCAAAAGGTAACACGCTGCCAAGTACTTCTGTGAAGAAAGAAATAGATTTTGAATTTTGTTTTCTGCGTTATAGACATTTGAATATTGAAAATGCAAATGAAGTGATGTGAACTAAGGAATTGATCCAGACTTTTTACATTATTGCTTGTGCTATGCTGTTCTTGGTTGAAGAGCTCGAATCATCAATCATAGTAATAATTGAGAGGTTAAAATGCTTTTTCCAGTGTAACAAAAAGAATAACACGTACTCTTCCATGATTTTGTATATTAAATCATTCCTTAGTAGACGTCACTTCATTTGCATTTTCRAAGTTTCAATTGCCTATAACTTAGAAAATACAATTTAAAATCAATTTCGTTCTTCACAGATGTATTTAGCAGCATTTTCTCTTTTGGATGAGAATGAATTTCTAATGGTGCCATGTGCACTTTAAGGTAACCTGGTTATCTCCCTATGTAGTGCATGGAATCTTCTATTGAACCTTCAAAGGTCTGCTATAGGGTGTCATCAAAAATGGCCACTGTCACCAAGCAAGACACCATCATCTAAAGAGCGATGGTTTTGCTCAAGATATATTAGCAAGTACTGGAGCAGCGAAAGATGTGGCTATTATGAGTACTGCCTGGGCATCTGGCAACAACTGAATTTAGTTATTAACACTAAGTAGCTGAAAGTGCAAAAATTAAAATAGGGATTAAATGAATGAACAGAAAAAGTATGCTTATTTATTCTATTAACTGATCACAAGTTGTTTCCCAAACTATTAATTTAATGTTGCATATCATATTCATAGTTTTCTAATTTCTTTTCTTATTTCCTAGTTTTATTTATTTTGGTTATTATATCATTTTCAACTTTTATGCTGTATAAAAGATAAACATATTTTGAGAAATAAATGGGAAGCAAAAGACAGTATTTTATTTTTAATMAATAATATYAKAAGGATTGGGCTACCTGTGTTCACTATTARYATAGACTATGTTGACGTACCTTCATTATTACAGATTCCCTGCACATTGATGGAATGATATCCCTTTCTATTCACATAGCTATTCTCGTTATTATGTGGACCTTGATTTCTGATATGAGTACCGTCAACACATACGATCACACCAGGAAAACCACCACGACGAAAGAAACTGCTCTTCATGGRCTTGAGATCGTCGTCGTTTGTAGGCCATTTTATGAAATCAGCCCGCCTATTGACCAAAMCTTTCGACACATCGGTGACTTCCCTTGACACTGTAGCCTTATCTASCCCTAAAGTGTCTCCTACGATTTGCAAGAAACTGCCACTTGCGTAAAATCGAAGAGCAATCATTATGAATGGCATTCGRTMCGTCTCGTTTCTCGCTCAAGATCATTTTCCAACAAGTGTTCAATATATCTCAGGGAAGCTTTGCCGAACCTATCGTTTTCTCAAGTAATCATCCGTATAATCGTCTAAAGAGTGGGGTTGAAAAGTGAATTTTCGCGGTCGCCTTCGCGCGGGAAAATTTAAACAACAAGACCGCCATTTTGTTTTCGTCAACTTTAATCGTGGATTAAATATTTAATCTTGCTCGCTAGCAGGGTTAAAATTTAACCCTTGATTAGCAATTTCTAACCCTAGATTAACACTAATCGTCATCTGAGCAACGCAATCTAACCCTGGGTTAAGTTAACCCTCGGATTTAATCCTGGGTTAGCGCTAATTGGCTTTCGTACAACCGGCTCCAATTACAAATTCTACCTTTTTCAAGTTACTTCTACACTATTTCCAGTTATTTCTACCATGTTTCCAACTACTACTAGCTAATGATAATCAAATTATTAGAAAGTTTAACATTAATTTAGTGAAAAAAGGTCTTTGATACATGACTCTCTCACGACTCGATGCCCTACCGTTCAGTCTATATGCGCCGTTTTATACCATTACACCACCAAGTTTCTGATGCGATTCCTCGGAAGATAACATACTTATAAATCTTGTGAATTAGGCTCATTAGGATGCCATGAATAGCAGACAAAGACAATTTGAATAGCTTTTGTTTCAGAAAGCCGTCCGGGAATTGAAGAACAACAAACGGTGCTTCATGTATTCAAAATTATGAAAAATGAAAACTTTACTGGAGATGCAATAAATTAATATATTTCTGTTATATGTACTTCCTTCGCTTTTTTCCCCTCCCGAATAATTAATGAGTATGAGAAGTCGTTCAAAGTCCTCCAATTCGGACTTGAAATCCCGTCCAGTCCTCATTGTCGGACTTTAATAATTACTTCAATGATTACACTGTGGCCACATGTGGATCCATAGGCTTCTGCAAAACACTTTTAAATGCATAAAAAACACCAGTGTCTGCTTCAGGGTGTTTAGAATTGAAGATATTGGTATTCAGTAAGACAATGTTCCCTTCTTTGTCAACTTCATATCCTATGCTATGGTTATCATCTCCACCCACAATAATGTGCCTGCTGTTGTTTGGCAATTTAATGGAGTAATTGTCTAAATGTCTGACATTTTCAAAGAATTTGAGGTATGTGCAGATAATTTTTTTTCTTCCATATTCACGATCTTTCCACAGGGATGCATAATTACCAATTTTTTCTTTAAAGTTTGTTTCTAACTGTGCGTTATATCTGAGAGCAGTGGGTACTTTCTCTCCTCTCTGCCTCTCTGTCATGCTCTTAGTTTGATCGGCTCGTCGGTCAAAAACTTCTATGGCAGTCGTTGGCTTTTGTGGATCTCTGAATTCATGTAGGAGAGGTAATACATTTTGCTTTATCTTTTCTTCACATAGCTGTTTGTATGTAAAATTGCCTCCTTTGCTGAAGCTCCTAAATTTAAACATTTGGTCCAATATAATGCACGCTACATCACTGCCATTATTTAAGGCCTCGCTGGTAAGAAAACTGTCAGGARATCTCAGATAA